AAGTACCTCTTCACTCTTCAGTTTTCAGTGATAGTTAATAACCCGCCTCGGCCTCTCTTACCTTCTTTTGGGGTAAAATTTAAGAAAATGATTCAACTTTGGCATTTTCATTTTTCATTCAACTTCTCCTAATTGTACTAGTTTGAAAAGTCAAGGATGATTTTGGTTTTGAAGAAGTCAAATATTTCTAGGATTAAAATATTAAAAAGTGGGGGGCTTGATTCGGTAGTTCATTTGCCAATATATAGGTTATGTGTTTCAAAAAAGAAAAAATAAGAGTGTGCAAGAAGAAAACAAAAAATAGTGAAAACGGAGAAAGATAGTGTCGTAGCACTTAAGGAGGCGTTTGGTAGAGTAGAACAAATTTTTTACCGTGAATTTTTGTTTTCGAGAATATGATGGGAATTTTTTTTTTAGGGTAAGTTACTAAAAGATGTTTGGTATGCCAAAATTTTTCCGAAAATGTTGAGTTAATTTTAATGATGTTGTTTGTTAATTTCCAATCACAAGAGAAAAAACAATTTCACCCCTTCAATAGTAATCTTTCCTAACTAATTTACAAAGAAAAGCAAATTATGGGGAAAAAAAATTCCCAGCCATATTTTTTTTTTTTGGTAATTCCCAATCATATTTTTACTTCATCTCCTACCAAACATAGGCAAATAATTTTCCAACCTCATTTTTCTAGGAAATTTTTTTTTTCAACTCCTACCAAACACGTGATTGTGAGATTAAAAAATTGTAGTATGTTCTTCTAAATTATTCTTAATCTCTTTAAATTTCCAACAATTTTAGCTATAAAAAGAATGAAAGGACATATATAACGTTGTGGGTATCTAATTTATTGATAATGGATAACATGATTTATTTATGGGTTCACTTCTTCTGCAGCAATAACATATGGAATTTTTTGTAGCAAACATATTTACACTTGTGGATTCTGACATTTAAAAAGAAAGAAAAAAGTCAAGATCCGCATGCGTAAAATAAAATCAAGGACAAGCTTCGAAATAAAATAGAAGACCAATTTCTTGATGATTCTTTGATTACATATATTAAAAAAGAAATTATTTTGATTTTTAACACGGATTCAATTATATATGAGTTTAACAATAAAAAAATACATAAAATAAGAGTCAAATGAAGTGATCTTAATCTTTGTAATAGATTTCTTTTAATTTTTTTTATATTAAGTCTGTATTATATAATATAATATTTTTTATTTTCGCCTCCATCCTTAAAATTTCTGCGTCTGCCACTCACCGGGCATGATGAAACCGTGAGTCATGACAAGATGAAATCCATTGAATATTGAAAATCCTCCCGGCCGAAAAATGTAGTCCTTAACTTCGTTGGGCCTCACATTTTTGTAACTCAAGGTCTCAAGATTTTTGTAAGGTGGTGGGGGCTTTATTTTATTAATTAATATCAACAAATGAAATGAGGTAATAATAATAAGGGGATCAATTTCCTTTTTTTTTCTCATGCTACACACACAATATATGAGTGAAATCAGTAAAAAATTGAGAAAACAAAAAAATTAAGATGTGACCTACTTATATATTGTGTGCAGCATGAAAAACTTTTATTATGTAAAATGAGAAAATTATTTTCATAATAATAATAATAGAAATGGCAGCTTCCCGGAAAATCATAGCGTCCACTCCGCTAACAATAAGCTGTTCAGATCCATAGGAAATGTTTTCCTGATCTTAAAACATCATCATTTATTCCTCTTGAGCACCAAGCTTCGCTACAAATTTGCGCACCTATGAGCTTCTCTGAATATACGAACAATAATACTCCAACACCTATCCAGCATAGCTTCGATGTTACATGTTAGCCACAATAATTCCAAATTTGTGATATAGTTGCCAACTCAAAATAAGGTTGACAGCATCCCAAGGCTTTCTGTAAGTTTTGAAGTTATAAGTTCACTATAAACACTTGAGCCATTTTTAATACTCGAGTGAGGACTCGTTGCATTCAAAACGTGTCAGGTGTTGAGATATATAGTCCCACATTGGTTGTATGTGCAACTAATGTAGAGTTTATAAGGTCTTGGTCACTCCCACCCTTTGAGCTAGCTTTTGAGGTTGTGTATCTCAAGGTTCTTTTACATGGTATCAGAGCCTCGCCGTCCTCCACTTTCTTATGTGGCGTTTCTTAGCACAGGTAGGCTGGGCCTGTTGCATTGTCCACTCTTCAAGCCCAATGGGCTCTCGTGTGAGGGGGCATGTTGAGATATATAGTCCCACATTGGTTGTATGTGCAACTAATGTAGAGTTTATAAGGTCTTGGTCACTCCCACCCTTTGAGCTAGCTTTTGGAGTGGTGTATCCCAAGGTTCTTTACATAATGGGACATGGGAGACGATTTATGAGATACACAGATGTACGAATGCAATCAGACCAATAAATCAAAGGTATATTAGACTAAAAAAGTAAAGACCGAGCAACATTTAAAATGTGCTGGTGTTTTCGCTCAACAACAAAGTTTTGTTGTGGGCGATCAACACAAGAATGAAAAGAAATGATGCCATTGGTGCAAAAAATTGAGTCAAAATTAAACTCAGGAGCATTATCAGAGCGCACAGATTTTATTTTCTTGTTAAATTGTGTGAGAACAAGAGAGTAAAATTCAGGAAATATATTGAAAACATCAGACTTTGAACGCAGAAAATAGACCCATGTGTATCGACTACAATCATCAACAATCGCTAAAAAATAACGAAAACCTTCAATGGACAAATGCGAAAAAGGACCCCAGACGTCCAGATGTATTAAATCAAAAGTAGATTCTGACAAATTGTTATGAGAAGGGAAAGATAAACGCCTCTGTTTAGAAAGAGGACAAACAGTACAAGATGAATTACAATGAGTGGAAACTACTGGCAAATTTAAAAAAGACTTCAAAAGGGATAGACGGTTGGAAGAAGGATGACCGAGGCGGGTATGCCAAAGGGAAGAGGTAGCTTCAACAGCACATACAGAAGCAAAGACGCGAGGAGACTCACGAAGAACATAGAGATTCCCAATACGATCAGCAGTCCCAATTGTGTAGGAGTTCGAAGGATCCTGCAAAACACACGATGAGGCAGAAAAAGTGATAGATACACCAAGAGCAGCAGACATAGCACTAACAGACAAGAGATTATAGTGAAATTTGGGAACAAACAAAACTGGAAAAAGGGTAAAACCTTGAAAAGAAACACAACCTACACGAGGTACAGTAATGGTGGTACCATCAGGAAGGGAAACGAAAAAATTAGAAATTAATTTTGTGGAAGTAAAAAAATCAAGATTACAGCATACATGATGGGTAGCCCCGGTGTCCAAAATCCAAGAGGAACGAGAAAGAGTAGAAGAAATACTAGTAATATTGGCAACAAATGGAGATGAAAAATCATGGTCAGAGGATGCAGATGGGGATGTCGTTGTCGGTGAGATGTGGGTGGAAATCAGGGAACATATTTGGGAAAGCTGATCAGGAGTGAGAGTGAGGGGATTAGATGGATTGGGCTGTGGTGTAAAAGGCCCATTATGGGGGAAAGTGGCAGCAGACAAATGGGCTTGATTCGGATGGGTTTGATTGTCCATAGGCTTGGTGCGAGCTCTGTACCCAGGCGGAAAACCGTGCAGCTTGAAGCACTTCTCGATGGTGTGGCCTTGCTAGGAACAATGGGTGCAAAAAGGACGATCACGGCGAGGTCTGGACGGTCCGGTGGTGGCATTCACAGCAGGAAGGAGCTGAAGATCAGAAACAGGGAATGATGCCGGCATGATGGAACATTGGCGTTCTTCCTGGACAACTAATGAGAAAACCCGGCTGAGGGAAGGAAACGGTTCCATGAGAAGAATTTGAGCCCTGGTTGCAGCATAAGATTCGTTCAGTCCCATGAGGGAGATTCTTTGGGGTCCTTTAGAAACTACATGTACAAATTTTGTCACATTAAAGAATTTTAATATGAAAAATTGTAAAAGTAATTTTTTTTCTTATAAGGGAGATTGTTTTTGCAAATTATTTCATTGAAGGGAGGTTATTTTCTTCCATTGTTTGTAATTTTTTATTAATATAATAAAATATATGTTTTGACACTTGATACTTGTTTTAAATATTGAATTTAATTTCGATATAGATATAATTGAGTCATTAAACATGAATATGTACTAACATGCATGCTAATCGAATATATTTTTCATTTGAAAAATGGGAATACTTATTCTATTAACTATGCTTATTACTTTTAGAATAAAATTTACATTATGAGAATTTCCAAACATCTAAATCAAAATTTTATATTATATACTATTTTAAATAATAATGGATCAGAAGTATTGACTGATAATTGTCAACCCTGTGAGAGGATTGGATATTGTTCTCTGGCCGACTTAGATTGCTTCCATAAGATGATTAGTTTTGAGTGAGATTGTTTACAAGTTAGTTTTAAGAGGAAAAGAATTTCAAGAAGAAAGAGAAAGATATATATTATTTAAGGGTTTCATGTTTATCATTTTAAATGACATAAGTAATGTCATATTAAGAGAGAAATAAATATAGAAAAATAGAAATTATGGAAGAGAGAGAGTGAGTAATTTTTTTTAATTTAAAATTTAAATTTCCTGTATTTGTATCTCTCTTAGAATGATATAATTTTATGTCATTTTAAATGTGAAACACTTTTCTATTATTTGAACATATTAAATTTAAAAAGTTAAGCATGGGAAGGGGGAAGGGGGAACCACCGGTATTTATTTACTAAATATTGAATGCAAGCGCTCATTTTCGGCATGGCCCTCGCGTCTCACGATGAGTGCGTAATTTATAAAGAAATCGACCCCAAAGAAAAATGCTTAGAAAAGCCAAAAAGAATGACAAATTTAGAACGATAGATATTATGAAGTCAAATCGCGGAGTATTACATTTACATCCACCAAATAATAATAAATGCGCATTGGTCTAATTCAGATACACAAATATAGGCACACTCGCTCACGAGTTCTTCCTCAACGAGTTTGCGTTCAAATCCATTCAATTGTAAAAGATCAGCAGCATCCTTTCTTCTCGATTCTGAGATATCGATTTTGCATTTTTGTGTTGAGAAAATGACTAGTTTGAGAGCGATTCTGAAGCACCCTGATGACTTTTACCCGCTTCTCAAACTGAAAATGGCATCGAGGCAAGCCGAGAAGCAGATCCCTCCGGAGCCACACTGGGCTTTCTGTTACACCATGCTCCACAAAGTTTCTCGTAGTTTCGCTCTCGTTATTCAACAACTTGACACCAACCTTCGCAACGCTGTGAGTTCCATTTCGCTTTTCATCTACTAATTAATCTACTTTTGCTTCTTCTTCTTTTTTAAAAAAAAATATATATATATAACAAAATAAAACTTCGATTCCTATGGTTTTGCAGGTTTGCATATTTTATTTGGTTCTTCGAGCTCTAGATACTGTTGGTTAGTTTTCATACTTTTCCTTGTTCTGCAGTTAAAACTTTGAGTCTCATTGAATGAACTTGTCTTATTGGTAGCAAGGGTTTAATCTGTGAATTATATGTCTAATCTGCTTGCTACTGCACGCCTTTAACTATCTGTGAATTATATATATATTTGAACCTCAAATTTTTCTATTCTGCTTCTCTTGGCAAGAGTGAAAAAAAGGTCTCATGGACGAAAAAAGAAAAGATCAAGGAAATAAATGATATGATGTTAAGCTTACAATTTGGTGCCAGATCTACTTAACATGAACAAATTTAAAACTGAAAATGTTACTAAGATTCTTGTTTCTATTCCCATTTCTCCTTTTTAAATCTTAATTTTCAATCTCTCAGTAATCGAGATTGTTTCTAAAGTCTAGACTATCTATATTGTGGTAAAAAAGATTTTCCCCTTTTTCTCAGAGGATGATACTAGCATAGCGACTGATGTTAAGGTGCCAATACTAATAGCTTTTCATCGTCACATATATGATCGTGATTGGCACTTTTCCTGTAAGTGTATCTTCTCTCTCTCTCTCTCTCTGTTTCCCTTTTGCTAAGTAAGATATGATTCAACATAATTTTATCAATCCCTTATCCTATGGGCGTTTTCCTCTCTTTCAAGTTAGCCATATCTAACTTGTTCCGTCAGTAATTTAATTGAGAATTTTTAACTACATATTTCATGACTTTCCATAACCACTGCTATTAGTGATATTTAAGGCAATCTTCATCAATCATAAAATCTTTAATAAAAAGGAAAAAAAAAAACGGTGTTATTCAACATATGCCTCAAATTTTGTTGATGATAATATGCGTGCTGATTCTAATTATTTTTATCTAACAAGGTGGCACAAAGGAATACAAAGTCCTCATGGACCAGTTTCACCATGTTTCAACTGCTTTTTTGGAACTTGGAAAGAAGTCAGTTCTTGTTCTTGCACTTTTCCCTATATAATGAATTTTAATCTTCTGTGTTATATGTGGTGTTATGCGTCTTTTAGAATAACCACTTATTAAATTGACTATTGACTAGACAATGAATGGATAATCCTGATGCTTTGTTAATGATTAATAAGAACTGTAATTTTTCCCTTGTTATATTATGTGTATTTTTTGCATTGGTATTTTTCCCTTAAGATTTTCTACTGTCTCCAGGGAGCCCACTCTCTGTAGTGACTTTTGGTACTGGTCCATTACAAGTAATACACCACTTGGTATTTGGTAGGACTTTAGATATTTTTAAGGTTTAAAGAGGGTCTCTTTCCCCCAATATGGGTCTGACTGTGCTTGAACCAAATTAAACCGGCTTGAATTCCAAAAAAAGAAATATCATTTAAATTAAAGTGTTTCTTAACTGAGCTCGGTCTGAGGTGTGCTCTATGGGCTTCTCATAGCTTATGTGTACGTGTGATTAGATTTATTATTGTGCATTCTTTTGCTGAACAATTAAAGAGTGGCCAATTACTTCTGCAGTTATCAGGAAGCAATTGAGGATATTACCAAAAGGATGGGTGCAGGAATGGCTAAGTTTATTTGCAAGGAGGTTTGTTGTTTGCGTCATGCTATATTCTTGACATCGTCATAACTGTACTATCTTGATTACCGCTAATATGGTTAATCTCTGTGACTGACGGGACATTATATCATGTTTGTTATTCCTCTGAACCTGGCTTGAAGACAAAATATTAAATCAATGTTAAAAATCTTATGTATTGTATCCAATTATGACTTTGTTCCACTTTGATGTTATTTTTTCTTTAACACTTGTATCCTATTGTTGTCAACAAAGATGTGGCTATCTGGTAGTTTCTGGTCTTTCAATGCTGATTTTAAATGATAATGAAGATTGAAAACCATATAGTAAAGTTCTGAAAAATGTACAGTCAAGTAAAACTTACTTTGTCGTAACATTTTCATGATAATTTGATGCTATTCTTTTATCAGTGCGTCTATCATGAATTCTTACTCACAAAGCGCTACGCTGCTCTGGGATATCTGCTATGTTCTCAACATAGAACAGAAAGATTGTCTTGGTTTACTCTTTACACCAAAAGATTTTTCTCCAATTTGCAGGTAGAAACGGTTGATGACTACGATGAATATTGTCATTATGTGGCAGGACTTGTTGGGCTAGGTTTATCTAAGCTTTTCCACGCCTCTGGTTCAGAAGATTTGGCTCCAGATGAACTTTCCAATTCAATGGGTCTGTTTCTTCAGGTAGCATGGTACTAATAGGCAGACAAGCAGCATGTTCAGAATTATTTGAACTTTTCAGTTGAAAATATTTTTATATTGTAGAAAACAAACATTATTCGAGATTACCTCGAAGATATCAACGAGATCCCCAAGTCACGCATGTTTTGGCCTCGGCAGATTTGGAGTAAATATGTTAACAAACTTGAGGTTTGGCTCTATAAGAATTCACATTTATTTAAGTAATTTTTTCACTGCTTTTTTTCCCTTTTTCATGATTCTCAGATGAACATTTAATCGCTGGATGGTATGATGACAAAAACAGTTTGCCTGTCATACTATTATGTCATGCACACATCATGAATACCTTTCCTCTGAGTTCTGATTTTCTACGAGTATGATTTTTCGCTTTGTTACTTCAATTTAAAATTTATGATTCAGGATTTGAAATATGAGGAGAACTCCGTCAAAGCAGTGCAATGCCTAAATGACATGGTCACTAATGCTTTGTTCCATGCTGAAGATTGCTTAAAATATATGTCTGCTTTACGAGATCCGGCTATATTTCGATTTTGTGCTATTCCCCAGGTGCTTCTGTTTTCCTCACTACCTTCCCCCCCACCCCCCCTGATATAGCTGTTCTGTTTCTCTTTTCTTGTAATGATATCAAATTATTCATCAGCAAGTTTATTGCTTGAAATATTTTTTGCATGCATATCACTCTGTGTTTTATTAGAGTCCAGTCAATAATTTACTACCCAAGATCAAACAAAATTCCAAAATATCTACACTGTCCTATCATTTTTTAAAAGTAGTAACACTATCCATAATATCTATGTTAACACTGTCACAAATCTTTATATGTATTGGTTATTTTCACAAAAATGTGGTGATGAACCTTAGAGCAGAATACTTGACTTTGATTGTAATTTCATTTGCAATTTATGTGACAAGAACTCCTTCCTACGGGCTAATAGGAGTGTTGGCATGTGTAGCTATGTAAACTTGCATATGTTTGAAAGCGGAAGCTGCTTAGGTCTTAGATTTTGGTCTCCCATTAATTTAAAAAAAGTTATGGTATTTTTACTGAGGGTTTGCTAGGTTTCCCATATAACATTATTTCCTGTTGTTATGTGTTTTATGTTTAACCATTATGTGGATAGCGAAAAAACTATTTTTGGACATTTTTTCCAGGTAATTTTGATGCTTATTTGACATTTTTTGTGACAGATCATGGCGATTGGAACACTGGCATTATGCTACAACAACATTGAAGTCTTCAGAGGCGTGGTTAAAATGAGGCGAGGTAAGAGGATGAATTTAAATACTGAATCCTTCATAATTTAATTTTGAGGCTTGTTAACCATAAAGCTAAAATTGTTATAGAATAAAGAAAAAAGGGATATGGAAGTCCTATAAATATTGAATTGCTGTAATTAGTATTCCATGTTAAGTGGAATCAGTCTTCTGAATACTTACCTCTTGGTGTCCTTATGTTTTGGAATTTAGTTATGCAGTATTGGGTACTTGCTGTTACCTATTCATTTTGGTTTTGTTTTATAGGTCTAACTGCGAAAGTCATTGACCGAACAAAGACAATGGCTGATGTCTATGGTGCTTTCTTTGACTTTTCTTGTATGTTGAAGTCCAAGGTATGAAGGATGGATGGTCTTAAACTAAGTGTGGGAATGTTCTACTTATATGACGTTTATTTTACACCTGATCATGTAACCATTATATGTTTTATTGCAGCACATACATTATAAATGCTGAATAAACTTTTGGAAAATTGCTTGGAGGATGGAAGAATATTAGCTAATACATGTGTACTCCTTTGTATTCAAATTGTCATACACAAATCCCTTTTTCCTTGAAAAAGTAGTTGTAGTAACCTTGATAGTCCTATGCAGTTTGTGGGCCTTGATGGAATTGCAGGGTCAACTCTCCCATTTTCTTTAATTAGTTCATATGTAGATAGAGTGTGGTCTGGTTAATGAGATCGGGCTGAATACATGCTGTTAGGGTTGGTCTCCTTATTAACGGATCACAGTTTTCTCAAATCCTTGCAATTAGAAAACAATACCTTTTTCAGTGTTCTGAAGTTTGGTTCGTCAGTGACTTGACCACACAATTTTCTTAGGTTAGACGTGTTACTCAATTTCCCACAAAAAACAGTAATAACTTTTAATATCCTCCCCTTCATTCCGTAGCCCTACAGGGAAGGAAGAATGTTGAGTCTCTAAAATTTTAAAATGCACATATTGTTGCAGCCTGTATTTTTATGTAGTATATACCATGGTGCCAAAGCTATTTGTCAGTTTCAAGGACATCTGTTTAAAGCTATCTTTTTCTGACTGAAAATGTTCAGTATTTTCCATTGTAGGTTGACAAAAATGATCCTAATGCAACAAAAACATTGAGCAGGCTGGAAGCTATACAGAAAACTTGCAGGGAATCTGGTCTCCAAAGTAGAAGGCATGCATATATACCTGTGGATTTTTAAAAATATATTTTCACCATTCACAGTCTGAAAATCTTTTCATTGATTTAAGCAGAAAATCATATATACTGAGGAATGAGCCCGGTTACACCTCGACTATGGTAAGTTTTTTTCTGTTTCTTTAGCTTGGCCGTACATCTGTGAAATATACGCTGATTTAAAGTCTCACTGCAGGTTCTCTTACTTGTCATCATATTGCCCATTATTTTTGCTTATCTCTCTGCTAACCGCCAAGATAACTAGTGTAAGTTACTGTTAACAGGTTTAAATAATAAGAAATCAGCAAGAATAATCAGTTATCCCTTCTGATTAAATCATTTATTCCTTTCATTTTTGTGGTATTCTAGCTTAGGCCTTTCCAAACATGGATAGCAATGCAGAGCTACTAGAATGCCGCGTTCCATGGGATATGGGTTTTCAGTTCACGCTTGCAAGCAATAATATGATGGTTGCAGTTCACTGTATATCCTATTAATTGAAATGAATGGTCAAACGCGGTTGCTTTCATTGTATCCTGTGTTGCATTTCTTATTTAAAATTTTAAATCAAGTAAAATTCACGGAATTGTCAAAACATAACGCTCCCATGGTAGATTGTTGTCTCGAATCTCTCGATTGAGAGACGGCGAGAATTAAATTCATATGAATTCGCTGTGTCATGGTAAAAAATAATTATGTCATTTTTCTACGTAATTTCTCTTTGTAGTTTATTATATCGAGAGGAGGCTTTAAAAGGTCTTACCCGCCCAAAAAAAAACCCTGTTCTTATAGCAATGCGAACGCAGATTGGAGACTTATAAAAATGTTTACTTAAAAATTTGTTCGCGTATATTATAAATGCAGTTTAAAATAAATTAAATATCGTTTGAACAAAAAATCCAAATCTTACTTTTAAAAACTAAAATATTATCAATTGATTGGATTGAGTTTCATTAAAAAGATTTTAAAAAAAATGTTTCTAAAATTAGTTTATATTTTCCGAAAGCCTTAAAATTGTTTACTGATGAAGTAAAAGCCCAAAACAACTTATATTGGCTTTAAAAATTGTTTAGAGCTTGTTTGCTTCATTTTTTAACTTAAAACCTGAAACTAAAAATAGGAGTTTAAAAAAATAATTTAAAATAATTTGATGATTATGCAATTTTTTAAGTCTAAAAACTACAATAAAGCTCAAATTATTAATAAATTATTTTCTAAAATAAAAATAATTTTTATATGAAATGTAATTACAATTAAAATTATCAGAAAAATGACATAATTATTTTTTAATATATTTTAAAAATAAAAAAATGTTTATATACTAATAGGAGGAAAATCAAACCATAACTATTCTTGATATTGATTACACCCATATTTTACCTTTGGATTCTGCTTTCTAAATTTACTGTTTATTTCTTTATTGCTTTCTTTAATTTATTGCAATAACCTTCAAGTTATTTCGTTTTGTCAAATAAAGGCAAACTTATGAATTACAACGATGTGTGATGAAATAACGGTAAACAAAAGAGAATTATATATCAATTGATAATCACAAGAAAAAGTTGTCATCTATGTCAAAAATCAATTTTTTGTATGCTGAGAAGACATCATCAATCGTTAAGAACAGAACCAAACATACACACATACAAAATCCCTAGGGCAAGAAACCAACGGTTCAGGAAAATTCAAAAAACTTCAGCTACCTTGCTTGCAAGGACTCGCTCCCTTCTTTCTATGTAGCCAAATGGAAACCAACCTGCTTTCCCTTTGCTTTCACCCTCAGCCCATCCGTTGTTTGTCACCTGTCAAAATTAGTCATGTAAGGAACAATTTGAAACATACAAGGATTTCAAGCTAATCTGTCCCACCAGCACCAAAAAATTTCTTTCTCTGTTTCAAAATGTACGTGACGAATTTGGTACACTCAATTCATTAGCACCCAATACGAATATGATATAAATCAATTATACATGCACTAGCAGGTCAACCACAATTCGTTTAGAGTTGAGACACGTAAGCCACAACACAAGCAAATGACCAAACAATCATTTAGTGTTTAATCAGTGACAACCGAACCGACAACTTAAATCAATCATGTTGCAATATCATATTAGATTACCAATTCTGTCAAAAGCTTAAACTGATAGGAAAAGGGTCTGACCATATTACACAATGGGTATACTTGTATTTTGCTTTGTTTTTCATGTGTCAATTTTTAAAATTTCAGTTTTGCTGGTTGGAAAACACCAAAGCAATCCAAATATGAAGCACCATCCCCGACTAAAAAGAAGAGAGAGAGAAAGAGTCCTTCAAACAAAATGAAATAAAAAGACATTCTTTGGCTCGAAAAAAGCTAAAATGAGATTTGTAATCTGCCCTGGTCTTGCATGGGGACATGCCTCTCATAATCTAAACTTTTATTTACTAAAAAAAAAGAAAAAGAAGCTATAATGATAAAGCCAGCAAGTCACAAACCTTTCGAACTACAATATAATCCCCAACCGATAGATTCAGTTCAACTTCAGACTCAGCATGGTAGGGAAATAAAACCTGCATGAGTAAAATATACAACAGAAAGTAAAGTAAGCATTAACTTTTTTTTTTTTGGGTACAATACACGTAACCTTCGTACAAGAAACAGTCTATAACCTCTCCTAAGAAGTAACCCATGCTATCAGTTGAGCCATTATGTGCCTGCGAAGCATAGACACCATTCACTTCTTCATATGATGGGGGTGGTGGCATGCTGTTATCCACACTAGGTGTAGGAGGGGCTTCAATTCGTTGTCGCTCTGATATCATCTATCATTAAATATACATATAGCATATGATCAAATGTTCATTCCAAAAGAAAATGACGTAACAGCCAGGTGGCATATTTGACTTTTATATGGAGAACAGATTGGGAACATGACCAAGAGATATGATTGCCAACCTCTCCCTCAAGCTGATCAAGTATTTGGAGTACTCTTTGATGATAGGCACGCTCTGCTTCAACCTTCATAATCAGAAATTGAATGCTGGATTTAAGTAGGAGTAATAATTTTTTCATAACTCAGATCCAAGATTCCGTAAAAACTGAATCATTGCATCATCATATGGTAAAACTGCAATACCATAGCTATAAGACGCTGGAGGGTTAACCTCTGTTGCTGTGCCTCAACAGCAGCCATTGCTGCAGCTGCTTCCTTTCCCAATATGGCCATGTTTGTCTTCAGGTCTTGCAGCTTTGCTTCAGCTGCTTCCAGTTTCATAGTATTTTCAGCATTGCCTGGTGTTTCTCTAACTCTTGCCTGACGTTTGGAAACTTCAATAGCCTGTCTAGGTTTAAAAGACAGTGTAATTACGAAGTCCATAGAAAAAGAAAAGAAAAGAAGACAACATCATTAATGATATTTACTTATTCAAACATGTATTGAAAAAAAATAAGCCAGTGACAAATGAAAAAAAAAACCTAAAAAATGTTTTAAAAAACCAAATGAAAGATAAAATTCCAGATACCTGTGCTTCAGCTTCCTGTCGCATTCTGTCATAACGTTGAGCAAGATGCCGGGCATCCTCCAATGGAGCTCCCATCACCATTGCTCTTAAGGGCTCTGCAACCTAAGCATCAAGCAATACTTCAATGTTCACTCACAGAAATATTAGGTAAAATAAAGATGGCAAGCACACACTGGATAAATTAACAGCGAGTCAGCATATAAATACAGTGAGAAAGATTAACTTGAAGAATATATATGGCTATTAAATATTAAATATTAAGTTCAATTCAAGGTTGGATTTGGACCTGGCCTAGATATCCCTTCTTCATTAGATTAAATAGATTTAAATATCTGTATATCCTATTCAGGTTCGTTAAAACAATTCAGTTAAGGGGAAATCCGAGCATTACATATATGAAACCAGATTTGAACTCTACAATCACGCAATTACAAGTGGCTATATGATGAACTCATGCATAACACCAAAGAAAAAGTCTTGGTTAATGTCACAAGTCCCTATCATTTCTCCCTTTCAAAGAAATACATAGTATTTATTAAGCAGAATAACAATGTAAGATATATAACAGAAGCCAAAACGAATAAAAGAACTTGAAGGCAAATGGTAGAAATGTATATAGTAGAATAAGTACCAAACTTAAGCATGTGTTTGGGAAAGCTTAAATTATGGGAAATAATTTTTATTTTATTTTATTCAAAAGCTCTCTCAGGAAGCTGCAAAAAAGGGCATAATTATTTCCCCAAAATAAGCTAATCCAAACACACTCAATTTCAAGGGAACAAACTAATGTAGAGGATTCAGGAACTGCTAAAAATTTCACTTCAATAAAGAAAATTAAAAAAACTAAAGAAAGCATCCTCATGTGTTTAGCAAGGCTGAGTAGAATTTGGATTAAAAAATAAGTAGTATCCATCCAAGCAGTGATAATTTATCATTACAGTGGTAAAGTAGTATTTTAAGATGCTCTGATCTACATTATTTTGGCATGAAACTTAACTTCAAAACCCTATTTGTGTGTGTGCTTGCCTGTGCGGTTTGGGGTATGTACCTGTGTGCCAAGAGCTTTTAGTAAGCTCCCACGCTCCTTCTCCATTTGAGCACGGGCACGCGCATAACTTAGTGCAGCTCTTGATAACGTACTACCACTTGTACATGTATTTTCTGCACCATATTTCCTGCTATCTTCTGACAACTTTGTTCCTGTTAAATAACATGTATAGCAATTCAATAAATTTACAGATAGGAACCGGTATAATACTAAAAATAGTATCTAAGTCAAGGAGGAAATCTCCTTTACAAGGGAAAAAATACTGCTCAACAAACAGAAACACAGATACTGAATATAAGAAATACAGAAATAAGAGATAACAATCAGAGCTGATACACAGACTCTGCCCTCCCTGGCCTAAGCTCCCAATTCACTGCCAAAATCTTGTCAGCCTCACCACTATTTCCCACCCCCTCCAATTCTCCTCTCCAATAGCTTGCTGCCTTGTGTGCATTCTGCTATACTCTCCTCAGCACTATTTCCTCCTTACTCCAAGCAGCATTCCTATTTCTCCGCTCAGAAACACATAATTTCCATTGGCCCAACATTCTCCAGCCCAATCTCCTCTTCTCTTCCTTTATACACATGTCAAAGGCCCATCATATACTAAATTCTGTAACCTAACTGTGAAGAAAATTTCATGAAAGCTTCACCAACGAACATTACTGACCTATTTCAACTTGCTTGGATCCAGTAACAATATAACCTTCTACACCACGGACAATATCCCTTTGATAATGCTGAAAAAACAATATACATCATTATCAGCCAAGGAGGGAGGGTGTAAGTTGAGATGAAATGTAAACAAAAATAGACGATTGGTACAGAAGAACAAAGTAACCTTTCCTGCACGTGTTGATATGTAAAGCTTCTCAAGTTTCTGATGTTGCTGAAGCTCTATCTCATCAGTAACCAAATTATCTGAACCTCCATATCCACCAGCCCCAAACTGTTTCAGCACAGCCTAAATAGAAATAATTGTCATAAGCATTAGTGTTTTTCTGATTTATGCCCACTCCTTCAATTAAGTTCAATCCCTATAATGCTTACAGCATAGTCATATGAACAGTATCTCTTCAATTAAGTGCTCCAATGTCTCACAAGGACACGTTAATGGTATTGTAA